GTGCAGAAGGCAGGGAAAAAGGACAAAAGGGCACAAAATGGACATAAATGACCATGTGGTGACTAACCTACAGTCCCATTTGTTACATGTTCTGATGTTGGCTTTCCTTCTTTTAAAATGGACAAACAAAAAAGTGGAGGAAAGGAATATATGCCTGCATGTCAGAATGCATATGGAAGTAGATAATTAAAAAGCATGCTGATACACCGAGAAAGCAGCACAGTTCTGCCTGGGCTAAATTTGGGTGTACAAAGAACAGCTTTTAAATATGAATAGAGTACCTTCAGATTAGCTAGAAATTGGCTTTAGATTCTAACAACTGAAACATTTGTTTCTAAATAATGAGTTTGCATGGTTTGGGGCTTTTTGTTTTTATTTTTAAAAAGCCATCCACCTTGTTGCAGAACAATGCCATGAAAATATTGGAACAAGATGACCTGCATCTGCCTCACTAAGCCTATCATGACGTTCCCCATGTGGTTCTTCAACAACAGCCTTGTAAAGTCCTAAGGCTTATCACTGTGCAAAGTGACATTAGCCTAAACTAAAACACTTGATCCATGGAATCATGTCTTTAAGATTCTTCCACATCCCACCATGATGGAATCCCACAGACCCTAGAAAGAGGACAGCATCATGCAAGACATTTTATCATGGGTTTGATATCTTCATAGCTATCCCTTCAGCTTGAGGTAACTAGTATTAAACAAGCTGTTCCGTGTTCTGAGGACTCAAAAAAGTCAGATATGCAGTAGCTTAAAGCGTTGGTGGCAGAGCATCTTTTCATCCAGGGTTAGATTAGTTTCCCTGTTGGCTTTGATTTCAGTTCAGCAGAGAAAGTGTGCTTCTCTGCTCTCCTGACACCACTGGAGAGAGGGATGGAAAACATGTCAGGTGTAAGAATCAATGTGTCTCTGAGAGGACTTTACTGTTGACGCCAAAGATATCTGGGGCTAGGCTACTTTTCTTTAATGAGGATTCATACTTGCACTTAGGAAGCATGCTTGAAATTTTGCACAGATCCAAATTGTTCATGCCTCTAGTGGTTACTAGGGGAGCCTAAGGAAGCTATACTGTACATTTCATATGTTTATCCTAACGGATGTGGTTCTAAGAGACACGCACGTATTGCTTTAAAGGCACTTGCTTTTGTGGCAAATGCACTGGTCATTTATCTATATATTTTTAGGGAAGCAAAAAAATATTTGCTGAAAGAAAACACTGGTAAATATTAGTTTAATTAATAACTCATTTCCAATTCCTCTTAGCATTTGTTGTATGAAGTGGAAACAGAATCACCCAACACTAATTCTTATAACCATTTTAAATTAATCTGATGAATCACAAAAAAAAAATTTTCACCAAGCTGTGACTTTGCATTAAAGCTAAAGAATACTGTTGAAAAACTCCTTACTTTTGAAAGCTTCTTTAACTTCCACAGATCTTTCAAGGGAACTCATTATAATCTTATATTTCTCAGATAAAAACCTGAATGTTTGAATCAGTATTTTTTCAAATTTTTTATGTGATATGTCAAGGTTTAATCCTCAAAAATAAATGGAACCTTCTAACATTTTGAAAAGATGGTGGGCACAAACACGACTGTCATTTGAACAATATGCTGTACTCTCAACAAGTATTTTGATCACATATAGGACATCTATCTTAGTATTTTTCTTCTACTACACCCTTTAATGTAGTACACACTTTCTGGATAGTCTTTAGTGTTGGACAGTCCCTGAAGAAATAGCAATTTTCAGTTCAAAGTTTCCATACACTCCCCCCCCCCCCCCCCCCCCCAGCTATTATTTCATTTCCACTTGCACAATAAAAGCAAAAGAAGTATTTCAAGCTTCAGAATATCCTCACCGTATCCATTATAGCTTCTGGACCTCTATCTTCTTGTTCAGCTAAAGCTTTATTGATTGCTTGTACAGAATCTTCTTTTAAGTGCTTTGAAAGATCAGTTCTTGATGGCTGCTCTAAATATTCTGGTTCTCCTGCTTGTACTTAGTGAGAGAAATAAAATAACAATTTTGTGTGTTAACATAAGCATGAATTCTGAATTGATTAGTTTTATTTGGATGACTGTCTCATAGGTAAGGTAACCACACAGAAAACGCAGGGTAGGTCACACCATTCACAAATACAACTTTACACCAGTCTCTCTCGGGTCATTTTGAACACTTTCATATAAACGGACCCATGATTTTACATTAGGAACAACCGACCTGTCCTGTCTATAGAAGGCTCTTGAGTGAGGAGTGTTCATCAGTCATATGGGGGATGACGGAGGACAAAGATGAGATTCTGCTCGGACTTTCTGTTGCATACAGACCCAGTATATGGAATGGCCTACAGCCACTTGAGTGCCAGATGTATTTTACTTTGCAAAATAATCAACACATTATATTCTTCTGACTTAAGGGAAATCAGTCTCCCTCACTTGAGGTCAATAAAATTGATTAGTATATATAGTGTCTTATATTCCTTACATGATGAAAGCAAATTTTGGCAAATAGAACATTCATTTTGTACTTTCCATTACTAACAAAACAACTAAAACCAGTCTCAAAGTGTTTTTGAAGTCAAAACATCTAAGAAGGTGAAGTCACTCTCCATAGAGTTTGCAAGAAGAGAAATGCCATTAAATCACTGCACTTATTACATTCAGTTTGTATTCATAGATAGTTATGACAACATATGCTCAGTCTTAATGACTCAGATACAACGAGAACATCTGGACAGCAGTCTCATTCCACAAATCCATCATGTCATCTTTCACATGATGTACATACAGCCTTCTGCAATGGAGCAAGAAGTGGAAGTAACCTAAAACCTGTCAGCTTTTTCTGTGTCAAAGCAGGCACATGTTTTATAGTCAGATTGCCAGTGGTCTTTATTAGCTAGGTTCCTAACAGCATTGGCCTCACTGTTACTGTTCAGAGCCTTTTCCACAGTTTTAACACCCTCATTTTTACATAATAATTTCTTAAGTAGGCCCTATTATTGCTAATTCTTTTTAATACCTCACACCTTCTTTTCAGACCTAAATTCTGTCCTGATTTAAAATGAGAAGGTAGGTCTTCTACTCATATCACTGTGAATAGAAGAATATACGTCACTTATGGACTAATAAATTCTCAAAACAGACTGGTGAGACCTGCTAATAATTACCCATCTTAAAAGGGGAAAGTTTCTATGGAAAACCCCAAAAATTAATTTAGTAAAAGCTAAGCACAACTGGGAGAGAAAAAGCAAAAGAACCAACAATTTTTACTTAAATGAAAATAAAATTAAAAAAAACCTCAGACTAAATTTTAAGTGCAGTTACCTTGGCCAAGTAAATAGTTTCAATTCAAGATTACACAAATTAACTTTTTCTTCCTTTCTTAAGTTGCAAAATAATATATACGAAACTCTGATTTTTTTGTTCTACTCCTTTTACAAACAGGTAGAAGCAGCTAACCTGGAGCAGGTGAGGGTGCTGGTGCCCTGGGTATCTGAGATAACAACTTCTCCTGCTGTGCTTTCTGAGCAAGTTCTGCATCCCATTCTTCGAGTTCTTTTTCAAAACGTTTATTGTCTTCCTTGACGTAATCCCTTAGATCAGAAGGTAGTGTCTCCATTCCAACAAGGATCTGTCCTGTTTCTTTGTTAAACTCCTCTGTGGTAACATGAAATACAAATGTCAGAAAAAAAAGACAGCGTACGGGAAAAGAAAGTATGTTCAACAAGTTTCCTTAAGTGAATTACTGGAAACATACAGTACAGCACCAAAACCCCAAAAGTGTACTATTTTTAACTGGTTTTATTATCTGTCGGGCACTCTTATGCTACTGAGATGGATGGCTACTGCTCTTGCAATCTTTGGGTCATACATTCTTGGGCACCAGCAGATCATTGCCATTTTGAAAGATGAGCCTTTTGGGCCATCAGCACCCTATGATTGTGAACATTCAGGAAAAAAGTCATAAAAAACTCCACCACAGCTTGATTGCATTACTGCCACATGGAGTTGGATACAACTCAACTTCCCAGCAGAAAATGGGAAGGAAAGCGGGCCTACAGAGATTTGGAAAGACAACTGATAAGAACACCAGCTACACGAAGTAATGTTCCTTTTTGCTTTGAGAACGGTCTCTGCAAAAGTATCCCAGATCCTGGGGGATCAATCAGTTGTAATTGTCCCCCTGCAAGCAGGCGTTAGACTTAATTAGTGGCACAGCCACCCTACAGGGGCCATGAACCCTTATGGCTGCAAGTTCGCTATTAATCTGGCAATCTAGAAATGTCAAGGTTACAAGGTTCTTATTTAAAAACTGAACGAGTGCACACGCTAGCTTTCTGCCCTATGAAAGGACAGGGACATGAAAATTTTCCACCACCTGCTACTGAATCTCTGCTCATTTTCACAGTCAGCTCCCTAGCCGCCATTATCAGGCCCCACAAAACTCACACTAAAGGATCTTTGCCCTCTCTCCAAACGCTTCTGTGCAAGCCTTATAGTTACATACTACTACATCACCTGAAAAAAAAATAATCCCAATCCACATATTACTGTAGTTTAATGCGCGGTTGGTAGGGCTAAGTTATTCACTTTTCAATATACTTAATAAAGCTTCAAGTTTCCATGCTCCAGTAAAGTTCATCAGAGTTCTAAAGCTTAAGAAAAAAAGCTACATTAGGATTTTAATGTCAAGAGGGACATTTCTGTATTTCTGTATTTCTGTTCTAATCTTCAGTGAGATAACATCTCCAAAATTCACCTGGCTAAAATGTCTACAAATTAGCAAGCAGTTTATTTTGCTCTCCTAATAATGCTGATTTATTATCTAAAATTTAAAGAGCAATTGTTCCACCCACAAAAACAATCTAACAGTTATGAGCATAAATAGAGCTTTCAATAATTATTAAAACCATTTCAAAATCTGGAAATCCATCTGAAAGAAGCTTACTTCATCAATATATTCAGCTATTTTATATCATGCAGAAAACATACCCATAATATTACCTTGTATCAAGTA